CAGGCTCATGCAATCTTCTACAGGCCCAATTCAGAGAGTCTATCCAGCAGGATTACCTAAGCAAGGCAGGCCAACGCCCCCGGACACATCCTACCGACCTTCCCCTAGCTTACCGAAAGGCTATGCTGAGCTACTTATATCCCTACCCAACCCTAGAGCTAAGCCATGCGTGAGTAGACCCCGTCATATACCTGATAGACACCCCCAGCCCAGTGTTGTAGTTGTTTGAATGTGTGGCCAGAGCCTATCGTATGTTTGTATGAGCCCATAAGGCCATGGTTTTTGTGTCTGCCTGAAGGCTATGTGTGGTCTGCGTAGTTATATAGAGAGATGTGTGTGCCCGAAGGCCAGATATGTGCAGTACTATGTAGAGGGAACTATGTGTTCGTTTGAAGAGATGAGAGGCCAAGCAGGACAAGAACCCCCCCATAGTCCCAAGCCAGACGATCTATGACATGTGACCTGAAGACTCTACCATTTGAGCGACAATCCCGAACGGCCCCTGTGTATGATTACACCAGACTGGGGAGATCAACAGAACAACCGCGAGCAACAGCCACAAGCAACCCACGCAGTGTCAAGACCTGACATACAACACCACGGACAATCCTTCGGTGGTGTGCAGACAGTGTCTGTATAAGCTTACCATGCGGCAGTCCAAGGGGGTGTGTGTCCAGCCGTGCGTCATTCTAACGCCCTGCCAGTGTCCATGCACAAGGCTGCAATTGAATTTTTTTGAACCCGCAACCTCATACCACAATGCGCATTTCCAACCCGTGCGCTAACCACTGAGCTACGTCAACTGGACTGGATTGCGCCATCATTACAGCGAGTGGAAACGGAAGCTGAAGTTCGGCCTGTGGGGTCTGAAAAAACCCTCCGCGCCAAAATCTGTGGTTTTCCGCATGCCTGCAGGGTCCTTTTTTTTTTTTTTTTTTTTTTTTGGGTCCAGTTTTCAGCCTGCGCGTTTACTCCCAATTTTTTTCTTGGAGTTTCGCGGACTTGGCGGGGGCGGCGTTGTGACGGTAGAAAACGCCTTCCATCGGCACTTTTCCCAATCTTTGTCAGTCTTGAGCACCGCCGATTGCGTGTGTGCGCCGACCATTTGACGATTTCGTGGACTTGGCGGCGGCGGGGTTGTGAAGGTTGAAAACCGCCTTCCATCGGCAGTTTTATCAAGCTTTGTCAGTCTGTATGTTGGGCTCCGCCGATTGCCTGTGTGTGCCGACCATTTGAGTATCTCGCGGACGTGGCGGGGGCGGGGTTGTGAAGGAAGAAAACCGCATTCGGTCGGCCGATTTTCGAACTTTGTTACTCGAGATTTGCAGCTTGGGCACCCACGATTGCGTGTGTGTGCCGAGCATTTGAGGTCGCGGGAACTATGGTGCGAGCCTGACGTGGCAACACTGGCAAGCAAGGGAACTGCAAGGCGGGAAATGAGAAATTTAATCACTATAAGAGAGGACTACGTGGACGGCTATCAGGACCTGGAGTCGATCCGCGATTCGCTGTCCAAGGAGTTGTTTGGATTGGCGACTCGTTTCAGAGGAAGCGAATTTGACTGGTCATTCGTTTCCAGCAAAAAGTTGGCGGGGAGCTGGTCAGGTTTGAGTTTTGCGCCATCGTTTACAGCTGGCGGGAAGCTAGTGAGTTGTAATTTTCGCGCCATTAGGAGGTTTTGGGGKTCATCATGTGTCTGCAGCCTTGTGCCGACCCGACGACCACTGGCGTGTGGTGGCGGGATGACACCAGATGGAGCACTTACAACGACGCCATGTCCGCTACCATAAAAAATGCGAAGCAACAGCGTGCACATGGCGGCCCGACGGGATCGATAAATTTGGGACTCATTAGTAGCCCAGTGCATCCCCTTGGAGCGCAGTATTCGCTTAATCTTAACACCATGGAGCAGATCAACATCAATACTGGAATGAGGCGTCCGGTTCGGATTATTGACAGCGGCGTGCCTTTGCCAGGGAATGACGGGCAGGTAAATCTCTCTCTCTCTCTCTCTCTCTCTCTCTCTCTCTCTCTCTCTCTCTCTCACACACACACACACACACACACACACACACACACATGAGGACATTGACGATGGTAGTAACGATGACAGTGATGGTAATGACAACAACGGTGATGACGATGATGATGACAATGACAAATTTGTTGTCATTATCATTGCTATCTCTCTCTTTCACCAACACACATAACTTATCTCTCTCTCTCTCTCTCTCACACACACACACACACACACACACACACACATGAGGACATGAGTCGGTGAAAGTAGGACAGAACAGTCTGGCACAGTCGTGCTTTTTTCGAGTGTATAGCGAATATAACAACACACACACACACTTTCGTTGTGCCCCTGAAGACGCTGGACTCGCGCCAGCAGAAACTAGTCGGGCAGGATGGGAGCGGTAGGACGCTGCAGCTCTCATCATAGTCTACGAGCTTCATAGTGCCTCAGAGGGTGCTTCTTCAAGGATAGGCTAGACGGATTCACTGCACTTCATGCTGTGCTGCCATTGCGGTTCTGTTTAYTCTGTTTGTGAGTCACTGAGCTTCATGTTGCGCTGTCGTTGCCGTGCTTTTTACTCCTTTGATAACGAAAGTATTGGAATCACTCGTGTGTATGCCCACTGTTTGAACGCATGCTATGTGCTGGAAATGCGTGTGCGAATGAATGTGTGGGGTTGATCTGCTGATGCTGAGTCTAGATTGATGCAAAACGACATAGAAAGACTACGCTTCTCTTTTCTTGCTCTATCGTTACGCTCCGCGCGACACGAGCCCAAACACGATTGGACTGACGATAATCTTTTCGATTGTTCTCTGCTTACGCACAAACACACACACACACACACACACACACACACACACACACACACACATATACACACACACACACTCTCGACCAGCTAATGAGTCGCTGAAATTCCGACGAAACAGTATGGTACCGTAGTGCTTTCTTAGAGTGTATAGCGAATATGACAACACACGCACACACACACACACACACACACACATACACACACACACACACACACACACACACACACACACAGACATGGCTGAGTGGGTGTGTAGAGTGGGTTTTCTCGTTTTATGATTGTACCTGCTAATGAGTCGCTGAAATTCCGACGAAATAGCAGTGCACAGCGACTCATTCCGACGAAATAGTAGTGCACAGTCATGCCTTCTTAGACTGTATAGCGAATATGACAACAAACACACGCACACACACAAACACGCACACACACACACACACACACACACACACACACACACACACACACACATGGCTGAGTGGGTGTGTAGAGGGTTTTTTCTCGTTTTATGATTGTGACGGATTAGCGAATATTACAACACACACACACACACACACACACACACACACATGGCTGAGTAGGTGTGTAGAGTGGTTTTTCTCGTTTTATGATTGTGATGGATTAGCTTCTGAGACTTAC